TGTGGTGCAGGTTAATTTGCCTGGGAAATCATAGCAACTGTCGGGAGTATCTGTTTGCAGGCCCATGCGTTTAAAGAGGACTCTGCACTATCTGCTCATCCCGTGTCCAGCATAAACATCCCAAAGGAATGAGGTCTCAAGATAGCATAGTGGTCCTGCACTAGGCAGATTGACGTTAAGATGGTAATCCGAATGGAGCTTGCTTCGGAACATAGAACGACCATTACGCTTTCAGTTATCTCTTTTATCTCGCATACCTCTTCCGAGCCAGAAAACACCAATGTACTGGCTATATCAGCGAAACTATCATCAACACAGTCTTGAAAACATTTACAGCGATATTTCACCGTGGGAGCATGCAAGAGATCAGAACTTCCACTCTATCTTAAAAGTTGGACATAAGATCAGAGTATGAAAAAAGAAAGCTATGGAAGATGTGATTCTTAAAATACCACACTGAAGCTCCCAACGCTACGGCCGTTGAGCTCCTAACCCATATACAATAATTAGTTGCTATCAATAGTACTCGAACACTCCAAAATGTATGAACATTGTGAACAATTTTACAGACCAAAGACCATGGTGATTTTACGACGTGATTTGCGGCGACGCAATGTGTCTGACATGAATGGCTATGCCATTCGTGTTTCTAAGCTGCGTATCCGACCAAAATGGATCCGTTGTATTGTACTGGGGAGTACAGTGTGTGTGCCGTCGAGGTCACGCCGGAATCGGCGCTCATTTATCCCAATCCTGGTTCTCGATACCGGAAGACCTGGCCATGAACCTTGTGCGGTGTTCGCCAAGACTTTCAGTTAGTTTGTTTGACCGAAGCGTTCCGAGTACCCAGTAGATTGTCCCCGACTTATCCACCCCTGATACAAGAGCGGTACGAAGGCATCGTCGATCCTTATGCTGACAGCGAAAGAACTGTAAGTGGAACATGACGGACACCTTAGATTTTCAGATACCACGGAGGCATCATACACATTTAACCCCGATTGGTCAAGTGATAAGATTAATTCGCTTTGCTATGGTTAAACCAGAATGTAACTTCGGATCGCTAGGGAACGCGAAGTTCATGCCTATAAAGGCAAAAGTGAAGTTCTCAGGTACGGTAGTCTGATAGTGAACACACAGGCAGAATGCCACTTCCTTAATTAACCTCTGAGCAGACTGGGGATGTAAAAGCTCGGAGCTGAGCTTTTCTTTCATCCAATCAGTGAGGATAAATCGATTAGACTAATGAATTCCGGTAGCAAATCCACATAACAAGTGCTATTGTTAGCCATGGTGAGTAGAGCACATACAAAAGTTATCAACCCATTGCTAGGGCTACTTTGAGCAAAAAATGGAACGCCTTAGGATAGCGCTTGATGGACCGTACTTGACAAATTACATGCTCACTCCTCGTAAGTCTAATCTGATGGTGTTGTAAGGGTTTTTCCAATCGTTAGACTGGTCTAAAATATGTTTGGCAGTATTCCGGCCCGATGAAAAAGGAGACTCAGACAGTCATCGTGTGAATTTGTTTTGATAGCGAAGTTTTCACACAGCAATCAAATGAAAGACTGGGCAAGTAGCAACGACATCGATCCGAGAGTGGGAGGGATGCAAGAAGTGAGCGAAAACGTGAATTCGGCATATCTTACGAGCAAATTGTCTAAACGATCGAACTGGATAGTTAAGGCTGAAGCACGAAATCATAAATTCGTAAATTGACAACCATATATGCGGTGGGGCAGAGTGCGAGTACGAAAGGCAGTGAAGGAGAATGTGCGGAAACAGAAGAGTACGCTTCAAATTCTTGCAAGATACTTGGAACCGATCGAGTAGTCATGAGTTCAGAGAGGTTTGGAAACAATCGGTTGGTATAGTAGTTTGGTACGCTTGTTGCTGTCAGGATATCTGAGCGAGTGCGGTTAGCAGTTTGGATCTGGTAAGCGCACAAATTGTGTAGTACGTTGAGAAAGAGCAAAGTGGTGGCGTAGAAACAGTAATGTGTGTGAGAGAGGACGTTGGCTGCTAAGAACGACAATCAAGCCATAAGCTAGGGGTGGGAAGGCGCGAAGACGGTTGTGCCGAATTTGAACCACTTGTAGGAACTTTTCGATTCAGACGCTGAGAGAAACAGCTAGTTGAATTAAATACGAGGGTCATTCAATAAATAAGATGAATTTTTCGGTATAAGGACTTCTAATACAGATAGAAGCTTACTTTTTGTTTATTTTTGTTGTTTTGCTTCTTTTTCACATGGATGTAATTTCTTTTGCAGATTGAAAAAAACTTTGAGAGTTGTAGCGATTAACAAAGATGGCCGACCAAGAAGCATGCTCCAGGATTGAACAGCGGTCAGTTATCAAGTTTTTGGTTGCTGAAGAGTGCAAACCAGTTGAAATTCATAGGAGAATGTCAACTGTGTATGGTGCCACATGTTTCAGCCGAGAAAATGTCTACAAGTGGGCAAAATTGTTTAAAGAAGGACGGAGCAGTGTTGAAGATGAAGACAGGCATGGGAGGCCTACAGAAGTGCGGTCTTCTTAGGTGATCGAATCTGTCAATGACCTCATTCAGTCGGACAGAAGGGTGACAGTGGATGACATTGCAAGGACTTTGAGCTTATCTGTTGGGGCGGCACACAAAAATTAGAAATTCACCTTGTTTATTGAATGACCCTCGTATAACATTGAGAGAAGATACTCATCAAAGATGCACTGGTGCTGGGTGAGCGATGAGTGTCTTTGCAGCGTTAACAAGGTATGTTTCATGTGAAACATGGAAGGTAGTGGCTGTTGAAAAAATCGTCTACCTGGAAGGTGGCTTAAAGATGTCGTCGTCCAGCGCGATCAAATACACTCAGAAAAAATACATAAATTTAGTTTACTTTAAGCTACTTGCTTTGTGCTTGAAGTGCAACATGCAGGCTTGTTAAGGCCTAGGTTGCATCGAGCATAAAAGCTGTATACGAATTAGGAACTTATCCCTGCTGTTCGCCCTCAACACTACATTTCACAATCGTTTTGCTTTCTTATGGGGATCCAAGCAGATAGCCGGGGTTGGGAATTTAACCTGGACTTAGGGTCCGTCGACCAACTCCCTGACCAGGTTATCAAATGTCCACAATAAGGCTTACCACAATAAATAGGATTGCAACGCACAACCTTGCGAGATCACACGACTCAACCGGTCTGTAGCTACATGGAGAATTCAAACAATAATGAAACACATCATGGAGTGGGACGTTAGAGGCGGGCAGTACCAAAAATGTGTCAAACATGACGAGGAACACTAAAGTTAAACGCAACCAGGTGAATAGATGGCCGGGAAGAAAGTGTCAGTTTATCATAGTTGGAAATATTGAGGCAGTTTACGACACCACCGAGTCAATAGTACGAAAAAGGGGGTCGGCAGTACACCAGAAGAACGTACGGATGCAACCGCAAGCGGTTACACTCGGGTTGGAATACTGTAAGGGCACCCAAACCCATGCAGGAGAGCGAATTCGAGTCCGGGATGCAGAAGTTGCCAGTCAAACACCTGAATGTAGCTTATTTACAAAGTAGTACAATAAGGATCGTTGACAACAGATAGACAGTGAACCCGTTAGGGCAAAATAGTGAAGTCAGAGGCACAAAGGATGGAATGTGAAGGTTTGCATAAAACACTTGTGGTGGAGGATGTTGACGGATGACGGCAACAGTGCCGTGGTTCGCAAGTGTGACAGATTGCACCAAATGACAAACAAAGTCCCTTTCGATCGACCACTCTTGCGAAGGCAAATAAGAAGCAGAAAGTAGAACTTTATAGGAGCAAGACGTCACAGACCTGGATCGCCTTCGTCGGCTGGTGGTCGATTGGTATATAGGCGTTTGTCGTGTAACCCGGTCACTAGTGCTAATATGCGTAGGTGCGGGTGACCACGAGGTATCATCGGCTCGTGAGTCACTGGCAGTGGTTGAGTGGCAGCGAAGCGTCGGTACGGCGTAATGGCGTATTGCTGATGCATCTTATTCAACTTCTGCGAACACATCCTACATCAAGTAGCGAAAGCGAAGCAACGAACAAGCGACATCACTAGGGCATTTCCACTATCCCAAACACGGATTTAAGTATACAAACTCATTGTGCGACCCACTCTAACGTATTACACTATCATACATAGCCACTTACGTGAAGCAGATAGAATTGCTTTGGTAAACATCTAGCGCTCATTTACCAAAATGCTCATGTGGCGCTCATCATCGCTTACCTATCAGGAGGGATGTTCACACCTCCAGCTCGATCCACTCTGGCTTCGACGACTAAAAAGCAATCTCACTCATCTCCACAGCGGAATATACTCGCGAGTTTGCTCAACCAGTACGACCGTCGCATTACATAATGGCTCAACCTATCCCACTCGTAATGGAAAATGTCTGCTATTCTTACAGAGAACCAAGAAAAATATCCGCTTAAAATTCTTCTTGGTGAGGTACGCCCATGCGTGGAATAAACGCCCGCTGCAATTAAGGACCTGCGAGAGCCTGTCCATTTTTAAAACTAATTCAAAAAGTTTTCTTTCCATGCCAAATGTGGTCAAACTTTTCGACCTACAACAATCTACGAGTGTGTTCATGGAATCGGGCTCGAACAACATATGGCAACATTAACTGTCAAACAATGATACTTGGTAGATAGGCAACAAAACATTGCATAACTCTTCTACATTGAATAGAGGTTGTGCGTGAAATAATATCGAAACTCGCTGTACAAATGACCGTTCCATAAAGGGATGGTATCCCGCTCGTCGGGAAATATACCCATTTATTTATATCTTCGACAGCCTAAAAGAAAGCGGCGCTCGACAATACGCATCTTAAAGGATCTGGGAAACGATAGAGATGAGGAAATTCCTGTAGCAGAGAGGAGTAAAGGGCGGACACTAATATGCGCTGAGGTAAATTGCTGATAGTCGTTGACGTGGTCAATGAGAAGCACGTAAAGTTTGTTTTCGGGCTTACCACGTATTCAAATACCAAAGTCAGAGACTTTTCCGTGTGGATGATATCGTGCAGCGTGACAATGTTGGCGTGTTGGAGGTTTCGTAACAGGCTAACTTCACGGATTGCAGTGCATGGAGCTCCCTCTTCGTGCTCCAAACGGATCTCCTTGAGGGCCACCAGAGTTTCGGTGAGCAGGCTACGACCTTTATACACCGTTGCGTATGTTCCCTGAAAAAATCGGGAAGACGAGAAATGAGCGATGCGCAGAAAAGAGATGAAGGAGGCGGGTAGTCAAAAAATTGTGTACGTTTATGGTGCATCTAGGGATGTAGGAAACACGGTAGAAAATGTTTCCGACTCACATAGCAGTCAGAATGCGGCTCACTTTAGACCAGGCTAGATAGACCCGGATCTGTGGAAAGTATGCTAACACATCGCGCAAAGATATCTGATACCCAGGGTTCCGGCGTTGGATAAAAAACGGTGTTTGATGGACAGGACATAATGTGAAAACGTCCCAAGTGCCAACGGTTTGTCACTAATGAGTATACTCGTCTTTGGACGATAAACCGCATTGAACGCCATCGAAGAAATCGTAGTCTTGCGATGGTTGAGTGAACAACTAAGGTCGTGTTACAATAAGAGACGTGACATTTAATTTTTCAGAGGCTCATTAAGTTGGTCGACCACGTAACATTGCAAGGCGCCGCTTTTAATTTGCAGCAGTACCTACGTGTCATGGAAAACAAAAAAGTTTCAAGTCGAGAAGTCGGTGAACATGGTGGATTCCGACTCCCTGAGACAGACTGACGGGTACACCCGACAGTTATTGGTTTCCTGAGGGTGGCAAGGAGACCGAAACAGTTTGCGTAGCGTTTGATGCAACCGACGATTTTCGTAAGAGGTAAACGGTTATTCAGTGCTCTGCTACAAGCCGAAGGGCATTTGAGTGAGTCCTATTGTATAGAATTCTATTAGTGTTATCGATCCACCGATATAAATGACAGCATATCAATCGATACAATGCACTGGTACTCCGCTGCCACACACCTACAAGTAAGGCTTCGTCGCAGCTAGTTCCAAATCAGATAGTTCTTCACAAGCCTGGAAAAGCAATAGATGGTGGTTTTGTCCTATAGGAACTGATCAGTAGTGCGCATCCATCGGCTCCGTTAGGACTTAAACCCATGACCACTAGCGGCTTGTGGTATTGGGCAGGAGTGGAGGATGAGTCGCGTTATGTCGCAGTTGGCTTGTGAACCATGATGGCCCACCGTTGGCCCCCATAGCTTAGTGACATAAACTGTTGGCTAATGGCGCAAGACACTAGTGGTCATGCGTTCGGACCCTGGTGGAGCCGATGGAAGCGCACTACTGATGATGCTCAACAGGTTGAGACTACAGTCTCGTGCTTCTCCGGCTGAGAGTGATATGGAAGCTGCTGCGAAGAACTCTAATCATTTATGTCGAAAAATTGCTACTCCTGAGAACAACTATAAGTACGATAAGGAATGAGAATGGGAGCGAGGGATGGAGGGGGCGTAAAAAGTACGTGTCCTCAGTAAATATTCTGAATAAAGACACGCACGAACACACTTAACCAACAAACACGGCCACAAACAGCTGGCATTGTTGAGATAGTCTGTTGGCAGCTTTCTCTGTTCCGCACCGTAATCAAGCGTACTCTGCCCTTTAAATAGACGGTCCGCCCAGGGAACGACTGCATACGTGCCACTGGTGCTGGGTATTAACATGTAATGCCTCGAGCTAAGCACATGGTGGGTCGCGTGGAGCTTAGCAAAGAAGGCGATGTGGACCGACGAGAAGGTCAGCGATTGCTCCGTCGGAACTTTAGATCTGGCAAGAAAAACTAGGCCAACATCGGTAAGCAATAGGTCACTGTACGTTCCACAGACCCGAACTAACACCATCTGAGCAAACGAACTGATTGGGCAACCGCGTGATTGATGGACTCTAGCTTCGGAGGCACAGCATATGTCAATGCCAAGGGTAGCACGCAAGTTGACTTGTTTGTCCCAGGATATGAACGTCGATTGCGACCAAGAGAAATGCGCAGTGCGGTTTGATGACAAGGGACATGCGAGCACTGGTGGCACGGATTCAGGACGAGAAACTTGCACAAAATGGCTACCGTGGTCATTTGCACCAGGGGCCACAGAAGGGAGGTTAGCAACGGGGACATGGAGGAGTGTAAGAGAAACCGGGTTTTCGTTTATCCAGTGTACTGCATCCATCGGATAGGATGAGGCTTCTCAAAGTACACAACAGTCGATGTAGGATGGAGCTGCTGTGATGAAATAGTTACGGCTGAATGTGGGTTGGATTACGGATAGAGTGTGCTGAGAAAATAGACAGAGGACAGTGAGACCTTAAAGTAGTTGTTTGATTCAAGTTCGAGCACAGAGCAGTTTGAATACTGAAATAGCCCACAACATGAGACAATTTTACCGAAGTGGATGATATTGCTTAATGTTGGGACCGACTATCTGAGCTCTAACACCATTAGCGAATATGATAGTAGCTCTTCAAGGAGTCCGTAATATTGCCCAGGTGTGGGGAAAGTGGGCAGACCGTCGTAAGAGGTTAGAATACAGTAAGTTGTGGCCGCGGTTGATCCAAGGATGTATTGCATCGTGTTAGTTGTTGAATCTGAGTGACGCCCACAAGCGCAGACTTTATAGAAGCCGCAAGCCCACAGGGGCGATACCAGCCACTAGTTTTGGTCACGGACAGACACAAGATGATGTGAATCACTGAAACGTAGCAGAAATGTAACAGGCTGTTGTTAAGACGTAGAAGGCCGTCATAGCATGTAGATAAAATTAACACATGACATTCATCTGCAGGACAGGGTATAGATTGGGAAGGGCACAAGGCGGATAACCGATCTCGAAAATGAGCACCTATACATCATGTGAGTGAAGGAATTATCCGCCGCATGGGTTGGGACAATCTGTGCTCACCATTTGTCTGTGTGTGAGAAAAGATACTCATGTGTTAAGATAAATAGATCCGGTAGCCAACAGGTTCTGATGATTTTGTCATTTCTCATTTAAACTTGGATGTGTCGAACTAATGCGCGTTGCCCACCCAGACTGTCGGAATGGGAGATGATTTGTTCGGCCATAGCTCTTAGGGACGCCAGAGAAGCCAAACAATAATTACCCAAGGTAGATAAATAGGGGAATATCCTCGAGAGTGCCCCTCAGTGAACCGGTGAAATTTGCGTGGCATATACTACGAGCAGAACTACGTCTGACAAATCTGCTAGCCAGCCTGAGGTAATAAGTAAAAGGGAACTTCTTTCCACAATTTGCCTCATCGTTTCGAATATACAAAACCCTAAAATATACTAAATAAGGCGCTCTTACTGGGAGCGCATTGCAGACGGGATGATGTCTGATGCACGCCTCCGCAACTTAAATAGACACACAGACAGAGAAACTGCGTATGCAAAATGCGATAAACGGGGCGGACGCACGCAACGGCATTCCAGACTAATGAGAAAAAGTGTGGAGGCAGCGTGAAACTCAATGCGAATGCTGAGTGCCACGTTTAAGTATCTATCACAACGTGTCTTTGCGTGCAGCGATCGGCTGAGAACGCAACGTATGCAAGAAAAACGAAGCAACGGTCGACATAACCTATGGCCTGCGGATTCGATGATAGTGTGGAGCCGATGAGAATGTTCGCTCCGGTAGCTTAGGAGAAACAGGCGAATTGGGTGGTCGAAAGCGACAGCTAGAGCATTGTTGATGTGCATTGGAAATCGCGTGTGACATGCAGCAGTGAGTCAGTTCACTGAAGTGACGGACGTGAGGAGAGAACGAAGAAGCAAGCGGGAAGGAGAACATTGTCCAAAGTAGGTAAGCCCCGCATACACACACAGCATCCAAGCGTGTTTCGACCACTGAGCCGGTAAAAACGAGGTCGATGCAAAAGATAAACAATCGCTGGACTGCAATCATTTGAGTGGACAGCAAGGTAGGGGTGGTGATAACATATAGTCAGAGAAATGAGAATCACAAAATATCTACGATGGGCTAACGACTGAGATGACGGTACTCATGCCACCTGTAGCAACATGGACCAACGAAGAAAACATTGTGAAACGTGTCAGCGGAACACCGGTACAGCCTATCAATATTTCACAGGGGTACTGCAGAGGCGTCCAAACTCATGCAAGAATACGGATTCCAACCAGGGACGCGAAGGTTGCAAGCCAAATGCATGAACCAATGCCCTGCTGACCCAGCACGTACCGACGATAACGCAAGGAAAAATGTAGGTCGGAAAAGCAACCGAAATTCATTCGCGTTTCACGCAAACGGCGTGATGTGTGGTGACGGAACTGCATTCAGGGAGAACACCCATGGCATGGTTCCATAGACGATGGTGGTAATCGCTTACTGGTTGTAGTGTTAACGTCGGAATGGAGAAAAACGCTGAGAGGGGGATAACTTTTAGCCAACCAGATTCTGGTTTCAAGCACAAGTATAGGTTTTGGCGCTGGCCTCTTTCATCAGCCGTAATGAAGATGTTTGAGATCCATCAATGAGTCCAGATGGAAAGCAGTAACTTCTTGATGCGGACGATGTGTTTAACGATTCACGAGTGTCTTGAATGTATAACAAAAGTAGTCTCTACACAAATGTGGAAACTAGTACTCCCAAAAGCAATAGTAGCGAGGACAATTAGTTAAGAATGAAACCATTGCGAAAAATGGATAAGTATGAGAAGCGAAGAACAGCAAGGGTCAGAGGTGAGGATAAAGAGTCCGGCACGACTAGGAGTTCGAGAACTCATAGCAGGTCAGAATACAGGAATAACATCGTGTTTAATAAAGCTTTCGAGGGAAGAAGAGAGGCAACGGGGAACAGCCATGCATCAACAGCACGTTGTCCTAGTGCTTGAAGAAATGTATTTAAGTTGTGAACCGTGCCGTTCCAACGATACCGGATGTGTGTGTGGGGATAAGATTGTTGTTGTAATACGAGGAACCTGATGATACAGTAGGCGGCGTCGGCTGTCCTATTTCACTGGAGCATAAACAAAGCGATGTCAGATAAATGCCTGGTGCCGGATGCTCGGGTGCTCATACAAAGCTGAACGCACTGTCTTAGTGGACGAGGTGTGACGTGCGAACGAAACGGCATCTGACGCTCCAAGCTAAACCTTCCGGAAGACCGCAGAATGAGTGACGACGTTGTGCGCTGCCTGCATTTAGCCGTTTGAAGCCTCGACGAGCGGTCCACCAACCAACGATCGTGATTGATGTGGCAGACATGGGAAGCTGAGCTACCGTATGCCTAGCGCCCACGTCCAAACGAAAAAACGACGATGTTCGATGCAGACTTGAACAGATCACTGACTACCTGGTGCGTGTTTTAACCGCCGTATTGGTTAAGTGTGATAAAGTGTAACTCAGCTTAGATAGTAAACTGGGCAGCATGCTAGGACGGACTTGTTGAAAGAGCGAAGTTGAGAACCTCAAACCTGACAACCACACACGCCAGTGATGGATGGCCGAAAGGTAATAGGCTCTATGCCTGAGCGAGGGGCGATGAGATGACTGACAAAATGCAAGAATTCACACATCATAAGTGTAAATGGGGATACTCACTTGTCCTAACATATCTAATTTGGCGTATGATTCCAGTTTGCCGAATCCGATTTCTGACTAGACGGATAGGAGAAAAGTAGGGAATTCAGGACGATACATAAGATACACTGAAACCGAAAGTAAATGTCTATTGCCAAACTGGACGGTGGCATTGGAATCTCCGACGGCTGAAGATGGTCGAAGGTATGTTCGCTATCGAGATACAGTGGTATGTAGCAGTCACGGATCGCTAAATGCATAACTAACATCATGAACTTACGGAAAGCTTCGGCTGCGTATCGTCAATGTAAAAGAAATGTGTCAGGGTTAGACCAATGCTAACTAATCCAATGACAATGATCATCGACCAACCACTATCGGTCATTGTATTGAACACTCCGTCATAGCCAGAGCAGCGTTCGCATTCGGCATCATAGGTTGACCCAGTACGGTTGTCCAAATTGGTCAAATACATGTATTCTCGAAATGTGCTCATTCTATTAGTAACGGGTTGCAACCAGATGACCACAGGTAGCAGGTGGTCTCATTTTCATCATGTGGGGTAGAGCAAATTCAAGTTGGCACTCAAAAAATAAGAAAAAAACAGGCATAATACTGCAATCAGATGAGTAAAACACAAGGGGAAAGACTGATAGAATGGATGCACACGTATGAATACGATGAAACCCTGCAGGTGAAGCGGTGGAAGTTTATAGATTCAACAAAGGTTTCGCGGAAAGTTAGGGTCAAAAGTGACAGGAGAATTTCCAGGAATATACCATGCCAGTTATGACACAATGAAGTACAAGAGAGCAGTATGAGGCTTTAGTAATATCAGCGGAGATCAGCGCTTCGTGAAACGGATGCAAATTAGCAGGAGCACGGGTTTGTTGGATGGGTTAACGATCGTTCAACCCAAAGGGATCTGTACTCCAGTCCGAATGGTAAAACTATGAGAATTGGCAAAAAACAATTGGCATGTTTCTGCCCACCTTAATTCGATTAAATCAGTCCAAGATAATTACTGTAAGCATCCACGAATGTGGAGTTAAGAGTGGATCATTGCTAAAAGATCCCTTGGGGACATGTTTAAAGCCACTTGAAAACCGATCTTCGAACGGGTTCAGAGGGCACAGTAAAGAAACGCACATAGACCAGAAAAATCGGTTATTCTCCTCAAAGTTTACACCCCGACCGCCGAATTTCATGTGTCGAAGCCATTGCACAGCGTCAGCAGAGATGAAGCGCAAAAAACACTGCCTCGCCTCATAAATATGAAGCACACCTAACCGCTACCAATCGGAGCAGGTGAAGGTAAAAGATGTTGAAAACAAAACCAGATGTTGCTCTAAGCAACAAACAGGTGGGTCTGAACATCCACGGCTTAAGTTAGGGCGCTCTTTGAGATTTAGAACAATAAAAAGTGATTTATATTGGGCAATGTCCTGCTGCTACCGTGCAGTTGTGGTCGATGGACAGATACGGTTCTCGTGCCTAGCCCCATGAAAACCACTCTCTTGAGCACCATCGTCATGGGGGTGGGATACACTACAATCCCAGACCTACGCGGCATCATGCTTTGAGTAATAGTGTTGATAGTGATGTCAGCTCTGGTTCGAAAACTAACTTAGGGGGTTTTGAAATATGCATCAATGGAAATTGTGATGGGGAGTTAGACCAATGTGCCGCGAAACTGAAACGACACCACGGCGAAGCAGATGCACGGTCAGAGTGACGGGGAGTGAAGCTCCTAAGGTTACATTGAAAACGGCAGGCAAAGGCATTGGATCGATAGGACGGTAGACGAATATGCTGGCTTGGCAAATTCATTCGAAACCACAGACGAATTACACGGAATCTTATTCCAGATGGATTTTTCCATAAAGTGTTTAGGGGAAGAAGCGGTTGACTCGTTGACAAGTAAACAAAGTTGCTTTTGAGAGCCTGTGGGGGGGCAGTTATGTAACATCGGTTGCTTTGCCAACAAATCGAGGCTTGTAGAGAAGGTAGTATTTGGCAAAATGAGCTCGGTAAACTTGTACGCTTCCAACATTTGCCAACTAAACAGGATATAGCATGCGATGTGAAAAACCGCACACTTTCACTTCGTTTGACTGATTGAGGTACATAGGTAACAAAAACGGGAGTTTAGGATTGTGAGGGGGTATGAATATAATTCGTAGTTTGTATCGTCACATAGCCCAGAAAAACGCAGGCAGACCATTCGTAGGTGATTGCAAACACAGCACACGAGTTCAGCTCAGACTGGCCAGGGAAAAGCAGGTGTGGGCGACCGAGACAAAGCGCACATTAGGCACAGATACTGGTTGTATCACCTTATCAAAAGCCACCCTCGGTGATACCTCGTGGCATTCGCTGAGAGATGTGAGATACCAACAGAGGCGAGATCCAAAATTGACAGATGAAGCAGTCAAGGAGGAGAGATGCGGAGTACTTTTTGACACCAGGCAAACGATGTGTCACATAGTGAAGCGCCGTGACTGAACATTTTCCTCAGGCCTAGAAAGTAGCGCACACCAGCTTAATACAAATTGTCAAAGTGGACAAAGAAGCTACCCAACCTTCCCTGAATCGTGCGTGTCACATCGATGTCCAATTCTGACGAACGATTTGTCGGACCACTTGCAGCTGGTTTGCTGACGACGGAGGGATGCTGACTCATCAGTCGGCAGTGTACGCTCTTGTGAGATGAGCCATACGAAATGAGGGTGGACAAAAATGGAGAATACGACAGATGGGGATAACTTCTGGAAATGGAAAGAGAGAGGAAGTGCAGCTAGAGAGGGGGGCAAAAGGATTGATTTCGTGCCAGACGCAGAATAACAACCCCCGACTGAGTCGTCCTTACCCGAATATGTCTGGAATAACGACATCCTAGGGATGCCTCAGATTCATGGTGGGGTGATTCACCCATAGGTCAGGTATCACGAAAGTGATACCAACGTGACATATATTGTCGAAGATAACTTGGAGTAGCTGAGTTCAAATTCCCCCTTTGGAATCTCGGTCCAAAAAGGAACAATGATCCACTTTGAATTGAACTTCAGCTCATCTGATCACTAGAAATGCATCCAAAGTAGGGGCAGTTTCAAGGTTGCGTTTTCCACACACCGGATTGGTGAAATTGAAGCAGTATCAAATAAGGGATATGAGGGTCTTGCTAGGACGAATTAGTCTGCTTTCAACACATGTACTCAAGCAGAGGAATGTATCGCATGGGCGATGGGTGACCTGAGGTACATTGATTCATCAGTCAACTTCGAGGTTACTGGATGCGGAGTCAGCTGATATGTCGTGTCTTAAATGCTAAGGATAAAAAGGTGGGGATAGTAACCCGCAGATAGAGGATACAAATAAAAACACAACTGCGCAGAATGCACACAGGTAAACTTACGTTTGCACTCATGAAACTTCATGTAAACCGTTGGGAGCATCAGCACACCAGTGAGTGGTACAGTTCACCAGGGATGGATGATAAAACAAACGAAAGCTCACGTGAATGGGTCCCCCGTTTAGCAGCGTCAATTAAGCAACGACTCCGAATGACGGTGTGGAACATGCCTTCTAGTGTACACTGGATTCCTGATTCGACAGACACGGCACAAATTCATTTTATCGACAGGGATCCCACAGGTGCTGAGTATTCCAGTGATTTTATTCCATCACTGTAGTCTTGCTCAATTGAGACCAGATAGACGCAGTGTCTCGGAGTCAGATACAAAAATAAGGATGCGGCATGAAGTAGTCGCAGTGAACACCTCCTCCATTACGACAGAAAAACAATCCACATCAGTGGTAGGACCAGAGGAATCAGACGACAAAGGCGAGGGAGTTGGATAGGCAGCCCCCTATGCCCGACATGAGGTTTGAGGTAATGTGACGGTTTGAACACCTTACTGATTCACCAAGTTATACCTGGACAGGGTTGCGGACACAATGAGAGCAACTACTATCACCATATAGATTGATGGCTAGAGTTTAGACAAACGTGGTTTCCTACTCCGTTATTTTTGGCGTCCTCGCGGTATACTCAGCCCACGCGCGACTGTTGGTGGTCACGTGGCAGCGAAACGCCGTTACGGCGTACAACTGGCGATTTATTTTTATTATTATTTTGTTTTTGGAGTTATATGCAGCAGTTCTGCTACTCTGCAGTAACACTACTGGGTCAAACCCATTAACGGGACCCGAATGTTCCTCCTGTTTAGGGACGGTAATAACCTAACCCGCATACAACCGTGACTATTTCAGCAAAATACAATCTCATCCAACGCCTAATGTCGTGGTTACAAAAAGGCAACCTAACCTACTACATACGGTAATGTGGACGAGCAGGAACGTTGTGCCATTGGTATCTTTCCACCCCCGTTTTCCATCTATTCGTCATTTTACGCCGCCGATCTAACCAACCATTTAGTTTGCCGTAGTCCCAACATTCATTCATTCATTATGTACGTTAGCTGCAGGTGGAAAACACCTCAGCTATTGTGCCGCAATACAAAAGAGAAAATAACAACAGAAGCATGCCGGCTGACTCCCCAGTAAGGAATGGAGATCGTTTCGGAGAGCTAACAGCCGCCTATCGTGCCGCAAAAGAGTTATATCATGCCTAACGAATGAGATCGTGATTGGAGGGGGACGCTAAGCAGGAGGGAGATGGACTAAGGAACGTACAACACAAACGCCGTTGGGGCCGACTCCTTGCCATATCAATAAGTGTGTCCAATAAAACGTGTTCATCGTCCTTAGGACCCCAGATAGGCGGTCGGGATGCACCGACCGACGGCAACTTCGAAGTGAGGGTTTTCATTTCTCTCGACCAAGTCATCGTTTGGCCTCCCCTCCCCCTCTTCCAATCGCACCTCGGTGCGCAAACAATGCACGTCATGGGAGTCTGTGTGCTGGCTTGCGAAACACGTGGCCCAGCCATCGGAGCCTGGTGCGGGATATAATGGTGCTGAGCGGTTCACTCGCACTTCCTGCATCAAATACGCGACGCCGAACAGGCTCACTGCTCACGCGGTGCTCCCACCAGACATGAGCTAGGCTGCGGAAGC